GAGCATTTAGATCAATAGATGCATATTTTCAGCATGCCATTCACTGGTGGGTGCATAACTCTGCACAATGAGGAATAACATGAGCGTCTTATCAAAATAACCGTATCTCGTGTGCAGCTTATTAATAAAATAAGATGCATAAAAATGCTGAAATAATGTGGTATGAGTGCCATAAGCAAGGCCTGGAATAAAGGGCCCCTCATTTAATGGAACCTGCGATAGTAAAACCAGTGCATGAACATCATATAGATCATGTGAATATCAGATAGCCAAAACGGTTCGCCCTCACCCGACACATAATGGCTGGGAACACCCAAATCGCCCGACATTACGCTGGCAAATTCAGCGATAATACTCTAATGGCGCCATCAATCAAAGCGATCGCCGTATTCTCACAAGCTGTCGGAAGCACGGTCGGGTTAGGCGGCGGCTGCAGGGTGGCAGTCCGCCCACGCCAAGCGTTACGCCACCGCCCTAATCGACAGCCACTGGTAAGCCGTGAGCAAACCCTCGCTCCGCGTTAGCATTACAACCCTAATCGGTCTCAACATTGGGATAGATGGTAGCGTTGGCCGCTGGGACGTCTCGAATCTAACATCAGTGGGTGTTAGGGCACGTCAGCGATGTTGGTATCGATGAGCGCTGGGTCTCAGCAACGGCTGATACCAGGGCCCGCCTCGGTCCCTGCCCCTGGTCTCCGCAGTCCGAGTGACCGACCCGGCACGGCGCGCTGCTCAGCCCCGGCAGTCAGTGCCGCCTCCGACCATCAGGTGCGGCGCGCCGCCCCGCCCCGGTCCCGCCCGCCGTGACTGATGGTAGCGGCGCTCGCCTGGCAGGCCGACATACCGCGGCCCATCAGTAAATGGCTGCGGCGGCCGAGCGCGACCCAGCCGCTCCGCCCGGGCCGTCCCCAGAGCACGGAGAGCCGCCCCACGGTCCGGCTCAGAGCCGTCCGGGGCCGCACGGATACAGCGTGAGGATATCAATCAACTTCCTGCCCAGCCAGCCTGGAGCATATTACTGAAAGGAGTGGCCATGAGCCACGGACGCCATCAGCACGTCGGTACAGAGCTGTGGGAGCGGTACCTTCGTTCGGTGGAGCAGAGGCTCCTTCCTGTGTTTAGCAGCGGCTATATCCTCTATTTAGGAGTACTTTCTAAGCATACACTGCGCCCCCAGCCAGTCTCTTACAAGAAGGGCCACTGGAATACCCCATCCGGTTTTGCTATGCCTGGGAACCGCCTCGGGTCACCGGTCGGGTCGGCCACCGGTACACCGCTGTACTGAGCGGCGCGGGGCAACGGTGCAGGACGGCTCACCCAGCGCCGGCCTGTGGGAACTCCCTGCGGGGGCACGCCGCCCTGCAAACATTGCTGCCTCGCGGAGATCACCGACAGAATGGCAGTCTGGCGGGCCATGTAGGACAGGTGGACCAGGTGCCGTGAGCTCTCACAGCTGCCGGTCACTGGCAGGTCAGGCCAGCCCAGAACAAAAAAAAAATAGCTTGTCGGTTTCTGTTACCGGAGACTTCTTACGTCCTGCATCCATCACGCACAGGTGTACTCGTAGTGTAGTAATCTCAAACATACGGTTCAACAGGTGCACTACACCAATCCCGAGTAGGGTGGGCCACCAAGCACGTATGAATATGCATGGCTTGCTCTATTTGGCTAATGAAACTAATTAGCAAACAGTAAAGCCCGGTGGTTGATTACGTCGACGCTGCGGTAATAAACGACCGACATAACGCCACAAAAGCGGGTCGGAATGCCGCGCTAATGAGAACTGAAGGCACCGGCCGCGGCGCCTTCCTCCTGCGCTGCAGCTGGGTGGCGGAACGATACCGCATTGCAGATGGGCGGCGAGAAAGTGCATAAATGTGGAAAGGTGGCTACCGGCGAAAAAAGGCTCTCTTAGAAAGGATTGCATGATGACTTGGAAATACGCAAGAAATTAGAAATTGGAGAAATTGGAGCGAGACATCTGCAAGTCGAGAGAAGACAAGAAGTTGGAGATGATGCTGCAGAATACAGGCACATCTAATGCCAATGCCACACAAGTGACAGAATTATCAACAGTGACAGAATTATCAACCTCGATTTGGTGGCAATTCTAAAAAAGAGCGAATTAGATTTCTCCAACCTCCAGTCCTGTCTCCTCCCAAACACCGCCAAGCTTCAGTCCCCCGTCTATATGTAGACTCCTCCACGTCCTCTCAAAACGTTCCACACTGGCACGGCCGCCACATATATACCAAACCGCTCGGCCTCCCGAGAAATTCACCAGCCAGCCGGCTCTCCGACTACAGGAATAGCCCAATACATCAGGACAGGAAGACAGTTCCAAATTCCAGCGGACGACCTCCGCGGGCATGATCAATGAGTTCACTCCCATTCCATTACCGGCTGGCCACTCGGCCGATCAGAATGCCGCCGGCGGGTCACGACCTTCTGACCGACGGGGGATGTCGGCCGCACAGAGCTACAGAATGTCGCGGCGTGGGCAGAGTACTTTTGGTGAAGAGCGCTAACGCATTCACGAATTGGAATAAAATACATGCTTGTGAATAAAGTAGGAAACAAAGAACCAGCGCAGAGACATGGGGAAGTCCGTTCATTCGTCCATTGGCATGTAACTATGTCTGTCTGTATAACTGTCTGCCAGTGTGTCTATGCGTCTGTCTGTCTGTGTGTGTCTGCCTGTCTGTCTGGCTGTCCGTCTGTGCCGCGCGTCTGGGCCATTGTGACGTCAGCGGAGCGGAGCGGACCGATCGGTCCCGCTCCGTCTCGGCCCTCGGCGGGTCGCCGCGCCGCCGGGTCACAGTCGTGGCCGGGTGAGCTCGAGTACGACCGGCCCCGCCCCGCGAGCACGCACCACCTCACCGCGGCGTCCTGGGAACGGCCGCGGTGACGCAACCACCCACAAACAGACCCACTGCGGCCCTCGGCAGGGCTGGGATAATAGGCGGGGCCGCGGAGGGTCGTTAGGGTTTTATTGAGAGATGGGCCGGCCGTGACTCAAGTGGCAGATCGGCCGAGCGGTGAGAAGTGGGGGAATGCCTCGGCGGAGTTATCGAGCGTTGCCCTCGGTAAATGTGCGACCGACCTCACCTCTCTGTGACCTTCCCCGTATCACGTAGAGGGCACGGGAGCGGTGGACCCATCGTGACCTTCCGCCGCATCAAGCACCATAAACTGACCTGTCAGTCAGCCCCCGTGCCCTCCTCTCTTCAGCACGACCCCGCCCGTTCGCCCAGTAGAGGGATTCACTAATCCGCGAGATAGCGGCTCCGATAGCGTTCAATGGCATAGCTGGGCGGTAGTGCGGCGGATTAGATAGCTGTGCGTCTCCCGTCGCTAGCTGAACTTGGCCGGATCGTGACGAGAGGTGCAGCGCTGAACGGTGGCGGCCGATATGGGGTACCACGAACAATAAAGGTCATTGGGAGTTGGGTCTGCAGTTACTCAGAAGGGTGAACTGGTAACAGCATTGACACGATGCCAGGCACACAGAATCCAACACTTTTCGTGAAGGGTAAACCGACGAGTGGGCAGTTTCCCTTGCATTATACGAGCTACACTGGGATGATGGAATGGAGAGCAAATAATTCAATGAACAAAAACTCATCAACATCTCTAAATGAGATGCATCCTCCAACACGAGTGAACACAAAGGTGACAAAAGAAGCCAATTTGAGCTCCCGTGCGCATGTGTACAAAAACCGTGTTCAGTAGGCTGTCGTTTTTGTTTCCGACGCGTGTGCCGGCCGAAAGAACGTCCGTTGCCATGGCAGCGGAGACGCACTTAGCGGCATCTCGGCAGGAAAAACACCGCCAGACAGCGGGAGAGGCACGACAGCCGCACGGCAGACGGTAGAGCCGGGAAACGGTCACAGAGACGGACCGAGCCCGCGTTACCGCGTGACGCGTCACTTCCCGAACCGTCCGTGACGGCCAGACGTCACGTCACGGCGGCAGGCGGCGTAACGGAGACGGCACCGGTCGGTGGTTACCGATGAACGGCGTCACGCTCTTTTTGGCCCGGCGGGCGGGGGCAGGCGGCGGAGAGTGGTGGTGTACCGGGCGAGCGGACGCCAGACGGAGTCACGGGGGACGCCAGACGGAGTCGCAGAGGACGCCAGACCACAGAAGAAGCCATTTGGCACTGTGTTCCGAACCGCAAACCCACATAGTCCTATACGACTCAGCAGCGGCTGGTGGGGAATTCAGCGAGGCAGAAGAGCCGCCTGGCGATCCACCGCCCCATCCGACACGGAAATCCGCCCCATACACCGCCCCACAGACATCCGACGCACCGCACCCCTCCTTTCTCCGGGACTCGGCCACCCACGGCTACTGTCCATAGCCGCCTGGACCTCCCAGGGTGCGCCAGTGCCGTCCACAGCTGTACACGCCCCGCACAGTAGCGTGGTATCTCGCTCTGCAGCGAGATCCACACACGGGGCGGGCGGTAGATCAACATCTCGACCACTGCGGGAGGCGGGCCGGGCCCAGAGACAGCCACCACGCGGACAGTGGGAAATGCAGTCATCCTTGCCATAAATACAAGTTAAATCACGAGAATGGAGTGAAATATCAGTCCATTGACCGTGACCGTTTCCTGTACTGAGCATTGATGAATGCTGTGAATGATCCGTAAATGAGAAATGTGGCAGGTTCGTGAGCAAGAGCATCCCTATTTCGGACCACAAGATGGTTATGACTGCGAAAATATGGTGATCATGTTGTGGTGGAACGACCCAATCGAATCGCTAGTCGGTAAATATATTGCATGATGCGGTATGGCACAAATTGAATAGTTGCTGCGAACAGCGGAGTGCTAGCCATTTTGAAAGCCCAGATTCCAGAGATCAGTAATGTTTCCTCCCGTTTTACCTTCTCTTTGCGTAGCCCTGGCCCCTGACCCCCCCCCCCCCCCCACACACACACAAACACGGCATACCCTACACATCCGCACCCACTCCACGTTCTGGTACTCACGTGCAGTCGTTTGATCATGAACGTGTCCGTGCCGGAGGCCGCCTGTTTAGCGGCGCTCCAGAACTGTTTCTGCGCAGAGTACCGGTTCATCGGGCAGATGCGGAATAAGCAGTCGCGGAACTTCTTGGGCGGAAACTGCAGGTCGCCGGCGTCCGGCTGCACCACGCAGCGGTCATCCACCAGCCTGCCCGACAGGTCACATACGGTCAGGTCACGGCGCCATCACATACGGTCAGGTCAGAGCAGGTCAGCTCAGGTAAGGCTAGCTTGGCGTCAAGCCAGATCACGTCGAAGCAAAAAGATCTGCGGAAACAATGTATTTAACTATAACACTAATACAAATGGACGCTGCACGTCGATTGGAAGCGACGGTAGCAGACAATCCTGACCACATATAACGCCAATCCGATTCCGAAGACGGACAGATATTCTTAGCTCACAACCAATATTCGGAACGAGCTCCGAGATGTAGAGCGGGAGGATAGGCAGCAGCTCTGATGGCGATTGGTTTCGGCATTTCTGGACACACTGACGGCTGAAGGAATATTTAGCAGCCAGCTTTCTGACGCGCAACTCTGAAATGATACGAGCCCCCTGCCCCGTTTCGCGACTGGTCATCATCCCTTTTCAGTGAACCCGACATGACACGGTCCCCGTCCGTAGCCCTGCTGACCAAGTGACGTTACAGGATCTGCCCAGAGTGGGTTACTGAATTCTACCCGGTTCGCGTTACGCCTGGTCCATGAGTACACGCGTAATAATTGCATAATTCGCGACGGCATGCATCAGAGACAACTGTCTCTATGGTAAGTCCGCGCTTTGGCATATGCCGCAAACGCTGTCATTATCAGTCAGTCAAGCACCATCCCGCGACAGAGCCGACCCAGTGTGGCACCAGGTCCACAAAGGACCAGTACACCGACTCTCACTCTCCACACGGTGCAGCCGCACCCGAGCCCATTCGGTCGACTCTCGCTCTTCGCGACTCTGCCTGTCCGAGATCCACATCAGATGCGGATCTCCGGGCCCACCCGGCGCACAGATCTGCCACAGATCCGCAGTCGGCCGTCCGTCCCAGAGCGGTAGACAAAAGTCGCGCGGCACGACGGGCGTGACGCGGCGCGGCCCGGAATAGAGACGGCCTGTTCCCGGAGCGGTGGTTTCCCATCTGTCCTAGTGACTGGACTCACTGAGCCAGGTGGGCGCATCCGTCACAGGGAGTTCCTGCATTGCTGTGTTTGTCAAGTGACTAGTGAGCTTATGATAAGGAAGCAATCCCACACGGCTTTAGCGCTATGTTCGCCTGCCTAGCGTGGGGCTCTGTGAAGGTCATGTCAGTTTTGGTTAACTCCCGTTTCCGTTTCGGCACGTTTCCAGGTCGGTAGCTTTGTTTCATGCAGACAGGACCCAGGTGCGCCGACCACCGCCGGCGTTCGCAGCTCCGTGTCGGCCGGAGCTGACCGGGACGGCGGGTATCGCGGCCGGGATCGTTTGTTATCGTTCGGCCCGCCTCTGATGATGGTGCCGTCTCTCTCCCTCTGATGAGACCGCGTGGACGCCGCTCTCACGGCCGGCGCCGCCCGGCTCTGCGGCGTCAGCCAGGTGGGGGCGGTGTGTTCTGCACTCTGAGCCACCGCGTGCGGGCGGGGTGTTCTGTAGTGAGCGAGGGCACCGCTCCACCGCTGGCGCCCAGTCTGGGCTCAAAGGCGGCCATCTGTCCCCGGACCCAGAGCTTACTCAGCCCGGAGTGCGGCACAACATCCGATGGCCTGGACGGAAGGTGTTCCGGCAGCAAAGGACTAAGGAAGCGACGCCGGTTATCTGAGACGCTGTGGTTAGTACTTCTGTAGGTTAAGTTGACTGGTCATCACCACTGCCGCCTGTCCGCGTTATGCGGTGAACGCTGAGACGGCGTCCTACCGTCGAGGCCGAGTCCATCCGCTCACATCCCATTGCGTTACATCCCATCACGTCACCTTACGACAAGTCACGTCCGGGCCGGCTGTCACTCGATACCTGACCTGATTATCGAACAGGAAGCCATGCGATAGACGCCCACTCACGCGCACAGTCAATCACGCAAACACTACGCGCACGCAGCGACGGACAGATACACTGGGTGAGATCAGTCCCAGTGAGATCAGCGAGAGCTTTCAAAGGCGATGTGGTGAACCAAAGACCACTGTCTATGGGTGAATCCGTCATTCATGCATTCTCTCGCTGCCGTTTCCGCTTTCCTCTGTCTATTCAGGACACTGGGAAGGGGCAGAGGTGCCGGAGATCGATAAAGTCGATATTCTGTTTATCCAGGGACGACCCCGCGGCAGCGGCGGCGGGCTCGGGCTCGGAATAGATTGTCTGGTAGCGGCAGGCGCGCCTGGCGGCGGCTAACAGGGAAAATATGAGGGAAAATAAAGGGAAATGACTTGGCTGTGCCGGATAAACGGATGACACGCCTGCAGCCAACGAGACAATCATGTAGACGGACAGATGTCAGACGTACGGACGGACGGACGGGCCAAAAACCACCGACGGGCGGACGGACGGCCAACATACGAATTTCGAAGCCGACCGATAGACGACGAATGGTCTGACCAACTTACACTTCACTATGCTCGCACTCCCCCATAAGTAAGAAAAGGCACAAGTTCCACGGCTATTTCGCTGCATATGTCTTTGCATTTGGCATTTGTAGCATTACTGATAAGCATTACGTGTGTTTACCTAGAGTTTTGGCGCACTTTCTATAAAAATGCCAGCTATTCGCACAGGGGATCCTCAGACGACAATGCACATCAGCATGCAGGTCAGTAGTGTGACAGTGAAGTACCGCGACTGTGTACACTGCTTTTAACGGACAATAAAAGGGTAGGGTTTCGCGGTACTGACCACGATAGAACGTGACAGAACAGCCTAAAACGGGATTCGAGACGGCAAAGGACGTGAGAGTGTAGAGCAAAGTGAGACAGAGCGGACCGGGGGCGCGACGACACGGAGCCGGGACTCGGTCGATGGTATCGGGCCGCCGCAGATAGTCGGCGACAGTGGCACTGTCTCCGGGGAGGTGGGTCTGAGCAGCGCGCACCTCCGGGGCAGGGTCGGCAACAGCGCTAACTACAGCAGTGTCACACTGTGTCAGTGCTGTGTCAGCGCGACACCAAGCACGAAGGTAGCTCACACAGCTGTGCCAGTTACCCTCTCGTGCGACGCTTTGGCAGAAATTGCCACAGTGCCAGAACGAAAAGAAACATTGAACTTCGATGTGGTGACCAATGGAAATATTTTGACATGGACTTCTGATGAATTCTGATTATCCGCCCAGTCTTCGAATTCCCTCCCAGTATGCAAAACACGGCTGGGGACGCGACACCCGGGGCTAATCAAAACATACACTGGGAGGCCAAATAAACCGGCCCGGCAGCGGTGCTGTAGCTTCAGACCGGACCCAGCGGGGCGCCGGTCAGTTTCTTTACAGCCCGGCGACGCCATCTCTCCCCGCCCCTCTCCCCTCCCGGTCCGATGCAACTGCACCCCTCCCCCCTCCGCCCGCACGACGCCGACCCCGCCCAGACCGGACCGGTCTCGTCTTCTCGGCTCGCCGGCAGGCTCGTTAGCCCTGCGCCGCCTCATTACGGCGGAGTCGAACCGAACCGGACCGGCCGGCCGCAGCGGCACTCAGTACTGCACGGAGCACACCACTAGCAGCACGGTGCTCCGATTGTCTGGTCAGCTGGACAGATGGGTGCCACACGCGCACACAAAGATAACGCTGATTACTGATTGTCGACGCTGGTGGTCCTTCGCTAATTAAAGAAGAGGAACCGTGTTTCGTAAATACTGAATTCAAATGTTGAACTCCCTTCGCAAAATTTAAAGATTGCAATGACACAGCCCACTAGCTTGACTGGCATTCACTTGATGTTGTGAAAGGCGTGTTTGATACGCAGTTCACCAAAGATATTACTATGCAATGACAGTTATCGACCCAAAATATGAATATAGCTTCTGGAGCTTGCAGTCACAGCCTGCCGCCGCTATCATTAGGTATGGGCGTATGGTAACGACCAACACTAATGAAAAAGCACCGCGCCGCGGGGAGGGACGTAATCACCACTACAGACCAGCAAATGACTGCAATATCCGTCCATCATTACTCCGAAGGACCAATGTGTACCGGCAAGAACCGACGGTGCTGCGTGGCGCGGCTCTCAAGGGTCTCATTCTAACGTAGGGGAATGCTCACTGCTCAGTGCTCATTGTAGAGTAGGTAATCACGTTTCAGTGTTCAGTGTCTATAGCCGTTCTGTTGCCTATGAGTCATTGCAAACAGAACCCAGCCGCATACAGGCCAATTGCAATCGCCCGCTCTCGATGGCAAACGCACTTGAGGAAATGTCATGAGGCAAAATGACGGAGACAAAAGACTCAGATCATAGTGCGATTGGCTATACTCAGTTAAAAACGCAGATTAACCGACCGATCCAACGGAAATCGTAAGTGTCCGAGTCTGAGAATGTTTTAAATGCATAAAAGAGAAGGCTACCCGACATCCGGCTGTTAGAGCAAAGGCTCGGCTTTATGGCCTGGCCAGTTTACTTGAGATCTACATTACTTGTATGCAATTGAACGAACCAATGCTGAGCGCCATTGTGACCTTCGGAGGAATGCCAACTGTCGAGAAGTCTGGTGACTGATTGCCACCATAATCGGTCACGCCAGATGGACTGCTTGCTTGAAATAATAATTAAAGCATAATGGACTGCAAGTTTCGTTTTGATTTATCTGAGAAAATTACACTTAAAATAGCTGGGTACAATGGCCAAAACCATGCGTCTTGTCTAAAACAGCGTTTACTGTTAATGATAGGTAGTAGTAAGACACCAAGGAGGAAAACTAAAACGAACTTAACGATATAAAACGAACTAAAAACGTTGGAAGAGCGGAACAGGACGGAGTGGACAAGCTACAATCACAGGTCACAGCGCAGAAGGGGAGTCAAACGCGGCGAGCCTGTTCACAGAAACGGCAGAAGCAAAAAGAACGGAGACCGAGCACGTGAGGCCTGCTAGGGGCGGAGAGCACAGGTGACATATCGAGAGCGGCGGTGCAGTGACCCTGTGCACTTCAATCGTCCCAGCCCCAGACCATGACACCCGTCCCCTGAGCGCGTCCTTGGCCGCGGGA